ACACACACACACACACACACACACACACACACACACACACACACACACACACACAGTCCCAAACCAAACTATCTTCAGTGGATTTATTTTTTTAAAGATCCTGCAGTGGATTCTCAGCTTGAATCAAAGCTGGACCGGATGTGGACGTAAATTAAATCTTCTCTATAAATACCTGTTAACTCTAATGAAAAGGGGAACAGAGCTAAGTCACTTCAGGTCGTAGTAACCCACATTTTTCGAACTCACTTGAGTTCTGACATACTTATTATCTATACGTCCAGGGCAGAGTGTCTCCAGCTTCATTATGACTTGGAGCTGTGTCACCTCGGAGTGGGCACCGATGCCAATGCCCTGCGGTGCCAACGCAGAGACTGGCAGAGACGACTGAACACACAGATACAAAACATCGCCCTGGAGCTTGTGGTCAACATTTTCAGGTTAGAGCTCTGCAAGTGTCACTGCATTAATGAGTCGAGAATAAACGAGTTTTCATCACACAGCCTATTATGTTGTCTGTCTAAATGTACGTCTCTGTCTGTCTGCTCTTGTTTGTCGCTCTGTCAGAGGCGTTCAGGACTTTTTAAACCACGAACACAGAGTTTTTAACAGTGAGGAGTTTCTGAGGACCAGGGAGCCAGCAGACCAGAGCTTTTACAAGAAGGTACATGAACACATTTACACAGACAGACACACACTTAGCTGACACAAACGCTGCACGTTTCTGTTTGTTGCCGTCTGCAGGTTTTAGAAACGCATATCTTCCACTCATTCCTGCGAGACCGGCTGAACAAGAAACGGGACACCTTCAGCCGCATGGAGCAGAACACGCGTAACAATGGACACAGGTATGAAGCTGGGGTTAAATCATAATATAAGGGACAGAGGTGATCAGGCAACACTGCAGGGATAGGGTGCATGTTACATAAGATCATATCCATGTGTTTTACTATTAAAACTATTTTTAGACATAAATATTAATGAATTTCCAGGTTGGACATTATGTGAGAATTCTGGTTCCTCATATTCCAAATGTGACCGTCTCCCATGTGTTGCGATATAAATATTGACTATAACATCATTGAACCTATACTTAAACCTTGTACTTAAAACTTGTACCAATCGTTACCTCAACTTCTTTCTTCTCACGCTCTCTTTCCAGGAATCGTGCAATGACGGAGACCCCTCGTCGTCCTCCCATGTCTGAACTGTCCAGGACTGGCTACGGAAGCTACGCAAGCCCCAGCGACCGACTGAGCAAGAGGCTCGGAGCCAGCCTGCCCAACCTGGAGCAACCCGCCAATGACGCTGTGACCGCCATCAGCCTCAGCCGGCCAGCCTCCCTCAGGAAGATGACCCCTGATATCGGTCAGTGTCATCGGAGGAACAGGAGAAAGATAAAGTGGAGAAGGAATTAAGAGTGAATTCTTTTGTAATTTAATTAATTTTATTCCAGGACTGAAGCTTCCTCAGAAAGCGGTGAAGGTTTTCCGTCTCCCAGAGTTCCCCCCTCCTTTGGCCTATCATTATGTGCAGAACTATTATTCGGACATGGTGACTTCTCTGGGGAAGGCTATTAACGCTACACCACCTGATGAATCTGCTCTTCTGGCCAGGTGGAAAAAAATAAGTTCCACACAGGTTATTAACATCTCAAGTAAACCGAATGACTCTGACTAACAACCATGTCTTTGTTCCAGGTACCACTACCTGCGAGGTTTGGTGAACACTGTGTCCAACAAGCGTCTGGATGCACTGGAGGACTTCCAGAGTCTCTATAAGACGGACTCTGAAATCTTCCCCTCTCAGATGGTGAAGTCGTTGGTGGACTCCCTGCCAGAGAGTGAGCGGTTACAGGTCAGTCCAGGCCGTCATGAATGGGGACACTATGTCCTATTGCACTGTGATTTAACTCAATTGTAAATTGCGCTACCCTTGATTCACTTCATTACATCCACAAATTAACTGAACAATGAACATGTGACTGTTCAGTTGGTCCATCTTTTCTTCTTAAACTGTCCACCCTGAATCTCAGATGTGATATAAACAAGCTGTCTGTAGATATAGATACTAATAACTTGAATAAAAACTGTTTTTAAAATATCCCCTTTAGGCTGACAAGCGGCCGGAGCTCAAGCGGCTCATCAGCCGGGTCAAGAGGGACCAGGAGCGGGAACGCGCAAGCCACGGCAACGGCAATGAGGAGGGTGCCATAAAGCGCTTCAAGCTGCCGAAAAAATACATGCAGCTGGAGGAGTTTGTGAAATGTGTGCAGGAGTCTGGGATCGTAAAAGACCAAGGGACCATACACAGACTCTTCGATGCTCTAACTGTTGGTGAGTTGCACAGGTTGTTTGTAGAGCACACACTCACACACTCCTTCATCCTTTTTCCAGGCAAACATTAATTCCTTGGGTTAATCATTACCTCACCACTTCCTGAAGAAAGAGGGTTTGCCATGCAGGCCTGTCTACTGTTGTGTAACCAGGGCTCCACTGGTCATCTAACAGCATTGCATTTGGATTTGAATTCTTCCTGAAGTGGTCTGTTGACTTGCGTCTCAGTTCAGATGTTGTTGAGTCGCCACTTGGAGTGATCTTTATGCAAAGGCATTGAGGAAAATATGTCTAATGAGTGTGAGAAAGGGGAACTGAAATATTTTTCCAGAAGTTGCTGTTTTTGCTGGAATCACCAGCAGGAAGGAGCTTATCATGTCCTCCACATTGGCTCAGGTTCCTCTGCTGACCTGCCCTGCCATGGTTTAATACAAGAAAGAATAAACTTAACATTCCCAACCACTGACACTGCTGGCAGTTATGACTGCATGGAATGAGATAAAGTGTGTGTGTGTGTGTGTGTGTGTGTGTGTGTGTGTGT